ACATATGTATAATATACAATTACTAACAGATATACATATATAATTTCCCTCTCTCTCTCGCCTCTCTCCTCCCTCTCCCAATCTCGCTTGCCATATATACAAATGCATATGTATAATATACAATTATATAAATATATAGTTTACCTCTCTCCCACTCTCTGTCCTCTCTCGCTTGCCTCTCTCCTCCATCTCAATCTCTCTTGTCATATATACAAATGCATATGTATAATATACAATTATATACATATATATTTCACCTCTCTCCCACTCTCTGTCCTCTCTCTCTCACCTCTCTCCTCCATCTCTCGATCTCGTTCGCCTCTCTCCTCCATCTCTCAATCTCTCTTGCCATATATACAAATACATATGTATAATATACAATTATCTAACCATTATACATATACAATTCATTTTTTCTCCCACTCTCTCTCTCGCCTCTCTCTCCAGTCTCACTCGCCTCTTTCCTCTATATAATATGTAGCTATTAATTGTAATTATCAAACTTTAGATATGGAAAATAATTATGCTATTTTTAAGTGGCTTTATCTGAAAGTTCCTCTTAAAACCATTACATAACATGTCTTCATCCAAGCAATTTTGGGTTGGATTAAAATTTAATCCGTTTGTTATGTTGATCGATTATTATTCGTCCAAATATGACATAGCCCGTCCAACTACCACTCCTAATTTTGATTCAATTTATTAAACCCTTAAATATAGTAAACTAATCGAATAAGAGTAAAAAAAATATAAATACTGATTAAACTCTCACACAATTGCTAAGAGACTATGACATCTAAAACCTCAAAAATGTACCATTCAAATTAAAAGACTTTGTCAAATAAATATATACGCAAAAATAACAATTAAACTTTATTGCCATCTGTTTCATCAAGTAAACATTATATAGTACATTGATGATATGCTCCTTAAATATAACCCTAAGATTTCAATTTTCACATTTGCAAAACCCTCCCCAACATAATGGCTTATCACATGAAATATCGCAATCTTCTTTGCTCTTACAAGGCACATGATCGTCTACAATAAAAATCATAACAGAAATTTAGTATGTGCAAATACATATATCGTTGAACAATTTTATTATAAAAATTATCAATATATATATCGTACCTTTACGATCATCGGAGTATGTCTTGGGTGGTAAACATATGCAAACACCACCGATACAATTAGGAAGAAGCCATTTTTTACAGTGACAATCCAATTCACTTTGACATGACTTTCCTAACACAACACCTGAACATTATAAAACTTGTTACTATGTATATATATTGTATATTTATAAATTTTTAATGGACCTTATTGTATAAATTCCAACATAGTTAGAGACATAGAGATATACTAACCACATGAAATGATCAAGAGAGTGACAATCAAAAACACACCAAATCTTGAAGTTTTGCCCATATTGCCTATGAGAAATCTTTTCTTTATTTTTTAAAAAAATATTAGTGTGCTTCATATTACAACATTATATAGTATATAATTTATTAATAACTATTTACTAAAAAAAATTATATTATCATGTTATTTACTATTTTTTTCCAAATCTTGAAAATTGTTTTAGTTGGTCAAAAAGGATTATTTGTTCAATGGAAGGTTAGTCGAAAAAATGTAAAAGGCATATAACTAATATATCTAAATTGGGGTGAAATAATTATTACATACTTTAATTATGAGGGGTCCTAACATCCTGATGAACTTATTTTTTAAATATTATTTACCTCTTCATTTTTCAAGCAAGAAAACAAGTTAAAATATACCATGTTGTATAAATACACTTATGCTATATAAAAATATTGAAAATTTTAATGTCTTATTTCATTTAATTCTCTTAGATTTAAATTAACCAGGATTTATTGTTCCTCAAGTCTCAATCCCTCTATAGGTGATAGTATATTTTCATTTTATTATCTGTAGTATATATTTATGAAACATAATTTTTTTTTGCATGAAATAGTACTCATAATATCATAAACTACAAGGAATATCATTATAATAAATAGTAAATGACTAGATCACCCTTGATAAGAAGCATGCATGGTATTCAACACCAGTTTTCCTATAGTGCGTGTATATATATATATATATATATATATTCGATATTTTCTTATAATTAAAGGCCTTGAAGATATTGAAAATAAAAAATTGAATTAAAGGCCATTTTTAACACAAATACTGAAGATATTGGTAGGATCATGGGGCTCTTAATAAAAAATAGAGAAAAGTGTTAAAAACACTCTTTAACTTGATGGGAATTTAAGGGTGTATTTTACTCATATTGCAAAATCAAAATATTTTTAAATTCAGTTAATCAAATAAAGAATTATTTTTAAGGTTATCAATAGTTAGGAATAAAACTATTAATACATGCCAATTTAAATGTGTTTTTCAATATTTCTCACTTTAAAATATATGATTTACCTCTTTCACCTTTCAATGATTTAAAAGTACAACTTGTTGGAAGTTCAAAAATGTATTAGGTAATGGGTTTTATTGACTATCTCTAACTTTAAAAGAAGTTTGGAAAGAACCAAAGAGGTGATATTTACAAATTATATAATTTAATGTCTTTAACTTATTTTCTTTTTAACACTATAAAATTTCATTTATTTTGAAATGAAAAAGATATTTAATTTGATTCTTTCATAACCAAGCCAATCAAACCACATTATTACTCGTGGGACTTTAAATATGGCTAGCTATCTCATTTAAGTTAATTCATACGAGCTTTTTAATTTAACATGTTAGATTGGATTAATTTATTTTTTATGTGGATTAGAAAATGGCCGGCTCAATCGCAAGTGCATGGACTACAGATTTTGTCGGGTTAATTTTCTTTTCTTAAAATTAATTTTTTATATAATTTTTAAATTAAATTAAAATTTAAAAATATTGTCGTGAATATCGATAATACAATATTACATGGATGTTACTACTTGTTAATCAAATTACAAATAAAATTATCTATATAATATTTATTAAGCTTGATTTGAAGTAAAAACATAACTAGCTAAATAGAAATATCAACCTAATTGTTTTCTAATAATCATAATGAAACAAATAATTTATATTTAAATTATAATATTTCAAACTTTAAAGATTTTGAGTGTAGCGTCCTGTTGTTTTTAATACTCTATTTTATTTTTATTTTTTAATTGGTCCACAGACCGATTCTATCCATATTTCTCAAGAGCCACAAATCGACAGACCTATTCACACCGGGCTAATTTTTTTTTAAATAAGCTCAAAAAAATCATAATCCAACCTTATCAAATCACGAATTAATGTCTTTGTTTGATTTTAGTTGGCCCATAGATCGATTGTATCCATATTTCTCAAAAGCCACAAATTGATAGACTTATTCAGATCGAGCTAAAAAATTTATTCTTAAATGAGCTCAAAAGATCATAATTCAACCTAGCCCATACGAATTAAAATGAAACAAAGACATTAAAACCTCAATATTTTTTAGTATAAGCATATTTATACACATGGTATATTTTGACTTATTTGAGTAAAAATGGTTTGTGTTAGCACGGGGCCCAATATTATATTGATGTATAAAATAGGGATAATTGTATAGAAAGATAAATTAATAATGTAAAATTAATACAGTAACTATCGTTTGATTTATTTGTGTTCCATAGTAAACTATTTGTCAGTCACCTCTCTCCCTCATATAGCTCCCAATCTCCCTCTTTCGCTCGCCTCTCTCACTTTATATAATAGAAATGTATAAAGCGAGAAAAAAATGTATATACACATGCAAATACATATATTTCTGTCTTATACACTTATAATTATACAATACAAATATTTCTCTGCCCAAGTCTCTTTTGTCTTTCTCTCTTTCTCGTTTTATGCAAATTCAAATTGTATATAATTTCTTTCTTTCTCGTTTTATACAATTCGATACAATTGTATATAACCGGCCCAAGTCTCTTTTGCCTTTCTCTCTTTCTCGTTTTATACAAATTCAAATAGTATATAATTTCTCTCTTTCTCGTTTTATATAATTCGATTCAATTGTATACAAATTCAAATTTTATACAAATATACAAACACATACAATTGAATTGAGAGGCTAACAACGGTTTATACTAATGAGAGGCTAACAATAATTTATACAAATGGTTGCCACCGAAATTATACAAATCTTAAGAGGAGTCAACGAATTATACAATTGCTTCTTTTGTATATATGTCTAGCGAAATAGGCATAGCTTTCAGTTGTATATGTATAGCGAATTATACATATATATGTTTGCTATTGAAGCGCAATTATACAAATTTTGTTATATCATACAAATATAAATTTTGTGTTTGTTATATGTGAAAGTCGCCCAATAAAATGTTTTGATAAAATTATGCATAATTATAAATTCTATATACTATTGATATTCTAATGAGTAATCCCAATTATCTAAAATTATAAATATAGTAGAAGAGGATGTTTTTTAATCACAATAAATTATTTCTGAAGTGTAAGGAGTCTATCACTTTTTTATTTTATTTTATATTATATTTTTTTAATTTTCTAAAATTTATTATTTATATTTAAGTATAAATGATTTCAAAGATCGTATTTATTAATTATGAATATCTTGAAAACAAGAAACATGTACAACCATCTCTGACCCATTTTTATTTTATTCTATATTCGGAGAGTAAAATAAAGATTTTTTGATTCATTTTTTCTCTTTTTTACTTATTCATCATTTGTACAGATGATCGACACTATTCATACTCTCTATTTCACTTCTTTATTATTTTATTATTTTTTATTATATAATATTTATAATTAACATATCATAAATTATATAAGTTCATTTATTAAAATTTTAATACTCATAACTTTTTTAATTAATATAACATTTCAAGAAAATTATTATATAATATATACATTTTCAAAAATGAATTAATAATACTCTTCATTTAAAAAAACTATTAGTTAGAATCAAATCCAATATGTAATTAATAATTTCGCCCAAATTCAATATGTAATTAATAATTTCGCCCAAATTTACATATATTGATCATATGAATTTACATTTTCTTTGACTAACTTTTCATTGAACAAATAATCTTTTTTGACCAACTAAACCAATATTAAGATAGCAAAGAAATAGTAAATAACATGATTACATAAGTCCTCTTATAATAAATAGAAAGATAAGCATGTAATTAGTGACTTAGATACTATATAATGTAGCAATAAGAACCACACTAAAATGACCAAAAAAAAAAACTCTTAGGCAAAATGGACAAAGCTTCAAGGTCTCATGTATTTTCAATTGTAATAATATTGATCATTTCATGTGGTTAGTATATATCTCTATTATTTCTGTCTTAAAAAAAATCAATTTTAGATCTCGTATGCGCTGAAATCCGCCTAGCTACTTACTACTCTACTTAACTGAAAATCTAAAATGAAATGGAATTCAAATTGGTCGAGAAAAAGAGACCTCCAACCAATCTATCTACCACACCTCCAAAACATTCCCTTGGAATTACAAAATTAATTATTTAAAATTTATCGATATACTAATGAGTTTGCTCGTAATTTTTAGGTGCAGTGATAGGGCGTGACTGTACTATTAGATCAGATTGTAATTATTTGACATGCGATCAAGGGTTGCCAACTTGTATTGATGGTCATTGCCTATGTTTAATACTCAATACCAAACCTAAAGGTACGTAATAATTTAAGATAATATTTTTTACTTACGTATTGAATAAATTATATATAATTTTTGCAAGATACTAACAAGTTAATTTTGTAATTTACAGTAGAGAGGTGTAGCAAAAGCGAAGATTGTCATATAGATTGTGGTGGTGAGGAACCATATTGTTTTTTTGGCCGTTGTGTTTGCTTTAATTAAAAGAATACATATATAATATATAATATAAACTCCATTGATAATGTATGGAGGTTTTGAATTATGATTTATGGGGCAATATATGGAGATCTGGAATTGTATTTTAAATGGCATCATTACATAAGATAATGTTTACTTAAATGGCAATGAAGTTTCTGTTTTGGATCGACCTCGAGTTATTTATGAATATGATTTTTGGAGGTGTTAAATGATTAGATTGAACATTAAATTTGAATGTTTCTCTTATGACATGTGTAATTGTCACGATCCAGGCCGTCGTAATTGACACCCACACTAATTCTTCGATGGTAGAACTATTACTACAACCCAAGCTAGATAACTTAATCAAATATTATGTATTTAAAGATACGAAAGCAGATTTAAATGACAATAAAAATAGAGGTCTCAATCGCTAAAATCTGTAAGTCATTGTACCAAAATTCTATTACGACAAGTCTAAGAACAAGGGTACAACACCTTAAGCAAATAGTCCTAGTCCGTAAAGAGTGGACTTAAACAAGAAAGATCCTTGACAGCCCAAAAGAACTGGCTCACCCTAGAATCCGGTCACGTTCGATAGTCACCTAACCAAGGTCTATTAATAACCGCCTGAAAATGCCTTGTACTCAACAAAGAACAAGCAAATGCAGTATCAGTACATTGTGGGTGTAATGATAGGATCGTACGGCTATTCCAAAGGTGAAATGTACATAAGCAGTCACAACAAAGTAAAACATGCATATACAATATTAGTCATCACCTACAAATAACACACAATTTCATAGGTCTCAAGAAATACAACTATTCTTTTAGAGCAACATACAGTTTTCAATATCAATCATCATTAGATATGAATGTAATCATCATAAGTACATACATAATACAATTCAATGGTCCTCTCAAGAATCCAATTCAATGGTCATCTCATGGAACCCAAACCCAAACTATTATCATATCGGTTTGTAATACCCGATCCAAGTTAATGTGCCGCAATGTCTTGATCTCATGTTTATATCGAAACGTGACAATCGATCCTATGTTTATGCCGGAACGTGACAACCGATTCTATGTTTATGCCGGAACGTGGCAATCGATCTCATGTTTATGCCAAAACGTGACAATCGATCCATTCAACGAGCCACAATCACAGTCACAATGTACACTCTCATAATCGTAAAATCAAGTGTTTATTCGTGACACACAATCATTCATTCATACTCAATTACGTTAGGGGTGATCAATAGGTTTCATTCACAAACATACATGCATTACAATGAAGCAATTACAAGCATATATCACACCAACATGAGATCACAACCATCACCTACCTAGAATTCAAGATTGAATCCCTTAAAACATTTGAATATTCCCTTTCCAAGTTCTTTCCACTTGTTCTAGGTCTAAAACAATTTATACTCAAGGATTAACAACCAAAGGTCTAATTAACGAATTTCAATAAACCCACTTATGACCGTAGACCAAACCCTTGATCCTCATACCCATATTTGGGCTTTTTCTACCATAAATTCCAGGTCAAAACCCTCCCCATCGATAATTACCCAAGAAATTAAGTTCTATAGATCGAAAACAGATTCAGAGAGTGAAAACCTTATCTTTAGCCTCAAGAATGATAAAAAAACGACTAAGAACTCGCCCGGGATCGTCTCTTAGCTCTCAAAAACTCGCCCATGTCCATCCCGCTATGGCGGCCCCAACCCGTCACGACAGCTTATACGGAACCAGTGAGCAATTTAAAATTTCAAACCCCATTTTCACAACACATGTAAATTTGAGGGATGCAGTGAATAGAACAATAACATTCCATGATCAAGCTAGAAACAAAGGGTATAAACTGAATGATCAGACAGCTAAGTTGTTTGTGCGCCCAAGAGGGTGGCATTTTCCAGAAGCTCAGATCTTCATTTGCAACTCCATCCCATGACACTTAAAAAATATCCGTTCACGCTAAGTTACATTCAGTTTCGAGAGTTTTACTCGTTCGAATTCAATTCCGTAAGATCGTACAAGTTCCTTAATGTCTCAACTATCTACACATGCAATCAAGTTCCTTATTAAATCACCCAATCATTACCAAAGTTCCCTAGACTCACATAACTCTGATTTCGTCCAAATCTGGACTAGGTTAGGAATTTCCAAGTTACTATCAAAAAGTTTTCTAACCCCATTTTTTTCTCCATTAACTTTTTCTAACGACGGAATCATGTCGTTACAATAACACTAAAATATTTCATTTATTTTGAAATGAAATGATATTAAATTTGACTCTTTCATATTCACGTTAATCAAACCTCATCGTTACCCATGTCTCATGCATAATAAAATTAAAATTTTGAATCATATTTCACACCTTAGGGGTATATTAGATGTGAAGAGTATTTTATTCAGCTGTAAAAAGAATTTAAAAATTCATGTTCCATTAAAGAATATACCATAGATAATAAAGTAAAAATATATGAAACCACATATAAAGAATTTGAGATTTGAAAGACGATGAACCGATCAATTTGAATCTAAAAGCACTACATAAAAAATGATTTGTTTTTGTCGTAGTGAAGAATATAATTAAAATGAAATAATACATTAAAATTCGTAATATTTTTTTCGGAAAAACATCATATTGCCCTTATACTCTTAAAAAAAGTTATATTTATCTTTCGTTATACTTTTTTTTCTGATATATTTGTCCTTGTCATTCAACTTAAGAAACATATTTACCCTTAGACTATTAAATCTCGTATCTCCACTTTATCATCTTATATGGTGGCACCTAAACAATATTTATATTTATTTTATATTATCTTTTTATATAAAATTTAATTATTATATATCCAACTCAATATTATAATCAATCTTTAACCTATTTGGATAAAACTTATCCGCACATGTGATTACATCAAGCCAATTTATGCATGTATGTGTTTAACTTTATAATTCATTTTACTTCATTAAATCACGTAATAATACATTTTGTATTGGCTTAAAATAAAGGGCAACTTTCATATATAGCAAACAAAAAATTTCATATTTGTATGCTATAGCAAAGTTTGCATAATTGCGCTCCATAGCGAACATAAAACTGTATAATTCGCTATACATATACAATTGTATAATTCGCTGGCCTAAATTGTATAATTCGCTGGCCTATTTCGCTGTAATTGTATAATTCGCTATCCTATTTAACTGCAATTGTATAATGCACAATTGAATAATTCGCTGCCTATTTCGCTGCAATTTTTATATAAAATTTGCTTTGCATACAATTGAATCGAATTAAAATGTATGTATTTTGCATAATTATAAGTGTATAGTAAGAAGATATATGTTTTTCCCTCGCTTTATACAAAAACGGAAACACAATATATACACTTCTGTTGTTAAAGCTAGAGAAAATTGTATTTCACTGCAATTGTATAATTCGCAATTGTATAATTCGTTGGCCTTTTTCTCTGCAATATTTGAATAAAATTTGCATTTGTCTACAATTGAATTGAAGTAAAATGTTTGTAAATTGTATAATTAAGTGTATAACACGAAGATATATGTTTTTGCATGTGTATATACAATTTTCTCTCGCTTTATACAAAACAGAAACAGAAATTATACACTTCTGTATAGAAAGCGAGAGAGGTGAGCGAGAACGGGAGAGTGGCGAGCGAGATTTTTGGGAGAGAGGCGCCTGACAAACTTTGGCTAACGTTTTCTATGGAGCACAATTAAATAAAACCCTAACTACTCCATTTATTTTAGGTTATTAGTTTGTTACTATATACAATTTTCCCTAAAATAAACACCCGGTGCGGATGAATTTATTCCAACCCGTTAATCCCAACTCTTAATATTTATTCTACTGTCACTTTCATAAAATAAAAAAAACAATTAGATTTGCTTAATTGAACAAGATTTCATTAAAGCCAACTGATGAAATATATCTCAGAAAGGATTCAATGTTTTTTTTTTCTATTTTATATGTACTTCTTCTTCAAGCATGTGAATTTGTTATTTTCTTGTGCGAAGGTGACAAGAGTTGGGTTTAATGAATGAGCGTATAATATCGAATTGAATTAGTTAAATTATTTTTTTTAAGTAAAATAAATATAAATATCTATGTAGGCATGTCATATAATAAGCGTCATGCAGATGTCACATAAGATGATAAAAGTGGAGATATGAGACTTAACGGTCCAAAGACAAATATATACACTAACTTGAATGACAAAGATAAATATATCAAAAAAAATATAACGAAAAACAAATATAACCCAGTTCCAAAAATATAAAGACAAATATGACATTTCTCCGCTTTATTCTTTGGTATAAGCATATTTATGCACATGGTATATATTTCAACTTATTTTCCTACCAAATAATAAAGAGGTAAATAATATTAAAAGAAATAAGTTCATGATCCTCATAATTTAATAATTTCACCCAAATTTAGATATATTGATTCTATGAATTTACATTTTCTTTGACTAACTTTTCATTGACCAAATAATCTTTGTTGACCAGCTAAACCAATTTTAAGATTGGAAAGAAATAGTAAATAACATGATCATATAAAACCTCTTAATATAGAAAGATAAGCATGTAATATTTAATGACTTAGATACTATATAATGTTGCAATAAGAACCACAAAAATGACCAAAAAAAAATAAAAAATAAAAAACTCTCTTAGGCAAAATGGACAAAGCTTCAAGGTCTCATGTATTTTCAATTGTCATAATTTTGATCATTTCATGTGGTTAGTATATATCTCTATTATTTCTTTCTTTAAAAAAATATCATTTTTAGATTTCGTATATGTAACATTAAAGACCTCTCATAAAAAAAATTAGTGACGTACAAAATTAATTATTTCAAATTTATCGATATACTAATGAGTTTGATCGTAATTTTTAGGTGGAGTGATGGGGCGTGACTGTAATATTAGATCAGATTGTAATTATTTGACATGCGATCAAGGGTTGCCAACTTGTATTGATGGCCATTGCCTATGTTTAATACTCAATACCAAACCTAAAGGTACCGTAACAATTTAAAATAATATTTTTTTACTTACGTATCGAATAAATTGTATATATATTTTTGCAAAATACTAACAAGTTAATTTTGAATTTTGTGATTTACAGGACAGAGCTGTAAGAAAGCATCAGATTGTCAAATAAATTGTTGGGGTGGGGAACCATTTTGTGTAGATGGGCATTGTGTTTGTACTTAATTAAAACAAGACATATATATGATATATATATAATATAAACTTAAATTCCATTGATAATATATGGAGGTTTTGAATTATAATTTAAAGGGCAATATTGTATAAGATATTATTTACTTTGAATGGCAATGAAGTTTATGTTTGGATCGATATCGAGTTATTTATGAATATAATTATTTGAAGTGTTAAATGAACAGATCACACGATAAATTTAAACGTTTAATGAATTGTACAACAACCACGATAATACATTAATACTCATTCCACTAAAATACAAGTGCTTGTACTATATATAATAGTTACTATTATATTTTTTAAATTAATCTTCTTTTTAATGGGTTCATAGACTATCTCTAATTATTAAAAAAGTTTGTGAAGAGGCAAAATTGTGATATTGACAAATTATCATTTAATTATTTAACATAAATTCATTTATTTTGAAATGGTGAGAGTATTCAGTCTGATTCTTTTAGAACTAAGCAAATCAGACTTTATCAAGGTCTCAAACACAAAAAAACACAAAGTTAAAATTTGAGTAATTACTACAACAAATAAAGGATTTTTGCAGCAATTATTTAAATGACAATAATAAAATTTGAAAATGTATAATAACACTCTATATAAATATTTTTTTAAAGACTTTAGTGATTTTAAATGTAATTGTATCAATTCGATTATTGCTAAATATTTTTGCGGCAATATTGAAAAAGAAAAAGTTTCTAATATAAGAGTGTTTTAACTTTTTTTCTTACCAAACAATGAAAGGGTATATAATATGAAAAAAAATAGTTTAAAGGATGATAGACCCTTCATCAGGGGTGTTTGGGTGTTTATGGTTCGATTTAGATCGGTTATTAATTAAAATCACAGTTAAACCAATTTAGTCGATTTGTTAGATTTTTAAAATCAAATCAAATCAAATGAAAAAAATAATAATCGGTTTGGTTATTGTCGATTTGTTTCGGTTTGATTCAGTTTGAAAGTAATTATTTTTTTGAAAACATACGTATCTTGATTAACACAAACACATCGTACATGAATAATCCACAAAAATTATTGTCGGTTTAATCAAGCAACTAAATAACACTAGAGTTATCATTACACAAACAAAGTGATTCAATTAAGAGAAACTATGACCATTTTATCTGAAGTAGGGTCGGTAAAGATTAAAATGGATTTGATGAACTTGGACATAGGATTGGTATAGTTGGGTTGAAGTTTTGGGCTTGAGAAAATGGTAAAGTTAAAGATTTAAGTTAATTAGAATTTAACAAAATATTTATATTTTATTTATGAATAATATATAAATAATTATAAAATTTATATATTTAATATATCGGTTCGGTTTGGTTATTTTTGCGGTTGTTTTTTAGTAAAATCAAAATCAATCCAAATAGTATCGTTCTTTTAAAATTTAAAATCAAATCCAAACAAATATCGTTTTTTAATTGGTTTAGTTCAATTTGATTTGTTAAGCATAACCATGAACAACCCTACCCCTCATAGTGTAAGTGTATAGATAATAATTGAAAAAAATGTACATAATTACATAAATATTCTTGTCATATTTACTAATTATGTATAGTAAAATAATTATGGTCTCACTGATTAATAATTTCATACAAAATTTCAAGTTAGATATACTTAGATACATGTATCTTTTCTATCAAATACATATTGAAATATACACACATACACACACACATTACGCACACATAAGGAGAGAGGCGAGCGAAAAAAATTAGTATATTTCATATAAATCATCGTAGATACATATATTTGGGATACCATATACATGATGAATACAAATACATAAGGTGAGTGGCAAGGAATAGACAAGCGAGAAAATCAGTATATCCTAGATACATGTGAATCCATTTAAATATAACGAATATGGAACAAAATTAGTATGAATGGTCATTTTAAAAAGACATATCATTAGATTCTAAACTGGTAATATTTGTACAATTTACCCCTAATAATTTCACTATAGTTTAAATATGTTTATTTTTTACCTTGTCCTACATTTTCTTTGACTAACCTTCTGTTGACCAAATATTCCTTTTTTGACCAACTAACCAAATTTCAAGATTTGGGGGGAAATTGAAAAAAAAAACATAAATATATTAGATATTTTTGACCAACTAACCAAATTTCATGATTTGGGGAAAAATTGGAAAAAAAACATAACTATATAATATCTCTCAATAAGTATATAAAATAGGCATGTTATTAATGAATTAGACACTATATAATGTTGTAATAAGCAGCACACAAAAATATCAACAAACAAAAAAGTTTTTAAAAAAAAGAACTTTTTCTCAGGCAATATGGACAAGGCTTCAAGAACTCACATATTTTTTGTTGTCATCCTCTTGATCATTTCATGTGGTTAGTACTTCTCTAAACAATATTTCAGGGTTTTTTATATGTAAAATTGAAGATCTCTTGTAAAAACGATATAATTTTTTAAAATAATAATTTGGAAGTGATCTACAAAATCAAATTTCTCAAATTCAATCTATATACTAACGAGTTCGACTGTAATTTTTAGGTGCGGTACTAGGAGAGAAGTGTAAGACCAGAGATGATTGTCATATCAAATGTAAGGGATTTGGGTTGCCAACTTGTGTTGATGGAACTTGTGTATGTTTAGCACCCAAGACATACTCCCATAATCATAAAGGTACGTAACAGTTTACGATAATATTTTTTTTTCTTACGTATCGAACACATTTTATATATTTGTGCAAGATACTAACAAGTCAATTTTGTGATCTTACAGGACAGAGGTGTAAGGATGAACAAGATTGTCATATATAAAGATCTTGAATTGTATTTTAAAGGGCATTATTGTATAAGATAATGTTTTACTTATATGGCAATAAAGTTTATGTTCTATTTTGGATTCGATCTCGAGTTATTTATGATTTTTTCAAGGTGTCAAATGAACAGATTGAGTGTTAATTTGAATGTTTTTTTGAATTGTACAACAACCACAACAATACTCATTCCACTAAAAACACAAGTGCTTTTACAAATGGCTGTATCTTAACTTGAGTTTGCAATAAGCATACCACCAAAACACAATTTACTTAAAAGAATTGATCTATCTTGAAGAGATCAGAACACAAAAATCAATCAAAGAATCTGTACAATGTAATTCTAACACAAGTACTATAATCTAACCATCAACCACTCGAGGATGTCGTTTCTTTTGTCAAAAAAATATAATCCTAATGTCGAAAGTAATAAGACGAGGATTGCCATGACAATGTACCTGTGTTGATGTTGCTTTGCTAGAAACTGAGCCTCGGTATCCTCTGACTTGACAACTATGTTAGGCTCTTCATTTGTCAAAATGGAGGACTTACTGCTTCGATCAGTCGGTTTATCATGAGGTAACTCGTTGATCACCTGAATCGGAGTACCAACATCTTCTATTAGGATTATAGAATGAATTTGGAGTCTTTATGAAGTAAACACAAACATGAACACAATTGGAACAAGCAGGCATAATGAGCATCTATTACGTGCTGCTAGTTTCTGAGGTTCGGTGAGGTCAAGACTCAGGCATAATGAGCATCTTGAGTCTACTCTTTTTTAATAACCAATAAATCCTAGAGGGACAGTGGTGCACAGTTTGAAACTCATGGATAGTGGAACCTCCACCCTTCACTTAAACATCAGGCTTTGGTCTGATGCAGAGTTCGAAACTGTGACACACATTCACAATCTACATATCCCGAGTTGTGCTCGTGCTCTTACCAGTAGAACAAAGCATTGGGGCTATCTTTGGACTACTTTCTATCAGTGGCTACAGTCATATTTAAAGTAGAAATGGGGGAGGGGATTACAAGGTGGGGAATCGAACCCTCACCAACAAGACTATACAACAAGCCTTAATTCTTAAGGCTAAGACTAAGAGACATATCATGCTATTGTCATTAAGTGGCATACATATTGGAACATACATATTTAGCAAATTCTGAATGACTAAAAGAAATAAATACCTGGGAGCTTCTCTGTGAGGATTCTGTTTGCAGTTCACGGTAGCTGTCTGTAGCAGCAGCGATTGTTGAGGCAAATCTAGAAGATGACAACCCAATATCATCACCTCCATTCTCAAGTACATTTATGGACGGTTGCTCCTTCGTTGACTTCAACTTGCTGATCAATGATTTGTTTTCCTTGGCCAAACAAAAAATCTGTCGCGGAAAAACAAGTCAGTGCTTGCAATCACTTCTAATTTTTGAATTTCCAACAGAAAGCAACAGAAGAAGAAAACTAAAGCACCTGTTTTTGTACTCGTTCTCTTTCGATAGCCAGCTGCATGACCAAATCCATTATAAAACTGGTTTTGATGTTAATGTCTTTTGCACTAGCAAGTTTCTCAACGGTAGCTTGATTCAAAGAAGTCTCCAATCCTTCGACTCTTGATCTTAGAAACTCTACTTCTTGGGTAAGTTCTAAATTAGTTTCCGACAAAATAAGGCACTGTTCCTCGACATGTTCAGTCTTGCTTTCGGCTTTTAAGACCTTTTGTTTTAGTTCATCGATTAAAGTTTCCATATCCCAAATGGCAGTATACAACATATTCTGTTGTTCTTGACCTGCTTCGGATGATGTCTTAGCATTTTGTAGCTGAAGTTCTAATTCCCTGACCTTCTTCTCGAGAATGCTGACCTTTTTAGCATTACTTTCATTACTACTCTTGAGAAAATCCAACTCTTCGTGCAGTTCCAAGTTTGTCTCCGTCAAATGTGCAACCTTTTCCTCTGCATTGTCAGCCTTATGTTCTGCAATATCGATGTCTTCTTTCTGAGATTCTACAATACATTCCAGTTCTTTAAGACGCTCTTCGCTTACTTCATTCAGTTCATTTGCTTTCAGCAACTTAGACTCAGATTCTTTCAACTTATCTTCTGAAAGTTTTAGCTTGTCCCTTAACGAGGATACTTCAGTATTTTCAACAGCAAGATGTTTGTTGTTGCTATTAAGGTTTTGTATGGTAATATCTTTAGCATTTATCTGTCCTATGCAATTATCAATCTTCAATGTGAAATCTTTCTCTCGTTGAAGTGAACCGTTCAAATTGAAGTTAACAACCTGTAATCGGCTCACCATCTCTCTGGAAATTCCCATAAGTACCTCTGCTGCATTTTCCGACTCTAAAAACCTACCCCATATAACCTCTGCACCCTCTTCCATGCACAGAGCTACTTGCTCGGTTAACCGGAGCTTCAACTTTAGATCATCTTCATTTTGTTTATGTAAAGTCAACTTCTTCTCAAGATCCAGCTCTCTTTCGAGAGATTTTTCCAACATTCTTAATATACGTCTTTGCTCAACTGTCTGTGCGTGTGGCTTCAATTCTCTTGCTGAAACATTATTAATATCTGATAAATCCAAACTCATCCTATGTCTCCCTGAAAATACATGCACCAGAAAAAGATGTAATGTCTTTGATATGTTAGTAACGAGAGGGAAAAACACGTTCTTGAACCTAATGAGTTTCACAACTTACATTCATTTTGGTCGAAAGCTAGCGAGGTCATCTGCAATTTGGCAAGCTGCATCTTCATTTCTAGGACACGTTCCTTCGATATTCTCAATAACTCTTCAGTGTCATGAAATTTGTTCTCCATTATCACATGCAGCTCACTAAATTCTCTGCGCGTAGGTATCTTTTGCCTTGCTTCAATGACTAAGTCTTGAAGAGTGCCTAAGAAATTGTCCAGTTGTCTTATCTCAGAGTTCAAAATGATAGATAAGTGATCCAACGACAGAACTTTCTCAATCGATTCAGGAGAAATCTCATCATTCTCGAAAGATATTGCTTCAACTTCATTTTCGCAGGCCAAGACACGCATCAAGAGATTGTCAAGATTCGTCAACTTCTCATCAGAATACGCAAGGTCCAAATCTACTCTACTCAATATTTCCATGGAACTCCTCATCTCTTCCATGTCCTTGGCTTCACTTGAGTGATTTTCAATCAACAATGTTTCCATTACTTGTGGATTGACAATATCAGAAGTACGGACAGCCAATTCTTCAATTGCCATTGATCAGCACTTCTGATAAGGCAGCTGCAAATGGGAAGGAAAGCATAACGAGATGAGAATGCAGGTCCAAATTGATCAGACCAAATGAATTAAGTAGGCACATAAAAGGCGTAAGAGTGCTTGAAGGGATATATAGCAAACACAAGGTGTTAATAAGCTTATATTCTCGATTTGACATCTCTCTATGTCTTGTACTTTAATGTGTGCCAAGGCAATTAGTCAGCTGTACATGGTTTTGACAAAGTTAACAGAAACCGCATTTCTTTTGTAATAGTATAAGTCAATGTTCGATAGGAAGACGATAACGCCCAAAAGAGAAATGGAAACAAAACATGATGAAAGGTAATTGAGACATTAAAAACCCCATATAGATCATCCTCATGCTTACACCGATGAGCAGATGCTTGAAAATTTTACTCCACGAGCCCCTTATACAAACATAACATGTTCTGAGACCACAAGTTTGTCTGGAGTAAAGGTATGCTGTTGTATTGTCCAACCCCATAACATCTTTTATCCAACCAACGGAACTAATCAGTTGGTTATTTACAGATACTCAATCCGAATTCTTCACTCATGCTTCAACCATACCTTCATGGCTTTGTGAGGACTTTCCTTGACGCAATCTTCTCACTTTCTCCTCAAAAATAAACCAAACACTGGTGCAACTGAATATTGAACGAGAACAGTGTGCAACAATCTGTTGCCTCATTGTTCTTTGAGAAAATATTGAAATAGCTAGACAACCACGAGGAAGATTCAGATATCAAACTTAGGACTAGAGCAATACGAGGCCTAATTAGCTAAAATGATAATAAGGATTATTGAAAAAGTTCATCTACCTACAGTACATTAGAGTTGTATCCAAACATTTATAGACATCAAATTGCTTATATTTGTTGAGAATTCGACCACACAACTTCTCTTCTATCTACCTACTAAACAAGAAATCACCCAAACTGTCAACACAAGCTATTTCAGGTCATTGTACCCAGAGCGTAGGCAGGATTATCACTAACAGAATTCAAATTAAAAAGAAGTAGACACATTAAGAAACCAAGTGGATTCAACATACACTATATCCACATACAAATAATCTTGATCTTATCTATACAATGTAATCTAACGGTTAAGGGGGCCTAGCTCCCCTCATAGCTTCACTTAGTGACTTCAACTATGTATGTCACACGAAACCTAATGTTTCAGAACATGGAGCTTCTAAGTACTTATGGCCTCATATTAATAGTGGCAGCACAATTTAACTTCCTCCAAACTCAAACACAGAAATTGTTGTGTCCATCTCTTGTTTTAGTGAAAATTGAAGGATTTTCCAGAAGAAATTAAAGTACAAACACTAAACAAGAAACTTTTTTTTACAGCTCCCACCCTTTGTTTTGCTCCTTGTAATTCAAACTCAAAACCTCAGGGTTACAGGTATAGGAATTCTTATAGTCCGAGCAACCCTGCTTGTTCTTAAAGAAGAAACCTTTATACCAACCAAAACACTATAATTACACAAAAGTAAGTAGAATTTCAAACACTTGTCTAAATTATGAAACAAGTAGAACATAACCACCACCAACTATTGCAAATAGCCTTAAAGAACCAATAAAGCTTCAATCTTTACAAGAAACACTAAACAAGAAAACTTTTTTCTTACAGCTACCACCCTTTTTTTGCTCTTTTGACTCGAACTCACAACCTCAGGGTTAGAGGTAAAGGAATGTTTGTCATCCTAGCAACCCTGCTTATCCTTTAACAAAAAGCCTTCTTACCAACCAAAACACTACAATTACACAAAAAAGTAAGTAAAATTCTCAAACACTTCTCCAAACTATGATATAAACCAAATATAACTATCACCAACTATTGCAAATTGCCTTAAAAGAACCAATAAAGCATCAATTTTTCAAGAAAAAAGAACAACACTTAACTTCCTCCATACTAAAAACATGTGTCCATCTCTTGTTTTAGTCAAAGCTCAAAGTTTTTCCACAAGAAATTATGTACAAACACTGAACAAGAAACCTTTATTTCAACTAAAACACTATAATTACACAATTCTCAAACACATAACTATAAATTCCCTTAAAGAACCAATAAAGCTTCAATCTTTACAACAAGAAGATCAAACAAAACAAGATTTTTCACTACATACCTTAATAACATGAAAGATAAAAAATGGCTCTTATTCTCATAACAATAACTTGAATAGAGTGGCAAAGAATATTTGTGATCTACAAAAGGGTCAACCTTTGAGATATTTTTAGGCTTATGGGGTTGGTGTCTAAAATGTTACTAACGTGGGTCCCACAACAGTCAGACCAACCAATCACATTACCCCACGTCAGCAACCATACCAAAAAAGAGACAAAATCTAATGACCTTCATTAATTATTGGTCACAAGAATGAAACCATAAACATTAATGTTCATCCTCTGCAATTTGAGATTTCTTGATTTTGGAGAAGTTTTTTTTTTTTTTTGAAAATGGAAAGGAAAAAAAAAGGAGAAATTTGAGTGGAAAATGAAATAATTGTTGGAGGAGCGCACGTTGGGTAAGTGGTGGTGGGGGTATAGTTGTTTTGATACCAAAAACTTAATAATTGAGGATTAGACTATTGGGGTCCAAACAATCATAACATATAAAATAATAATGCTAAAATTAAGGCTAAGATGATTTTTTTTTTGTCTCATTTCGATATTTGATATTTTCTATGAGGTTTGACTCAATTAGACTCGAGATAAAAAGTAAAAAATTATTTTTCAATATTCAGAGTATCATTTCAAAATTTCTAATTAAGAAAAAAAAGAGCATTTACTATTCTAATATTGACTAGAACCTTTGATGGTGACTAAAATGTTGTCAATTACTTCTAATTATAGGACTCATTTAGTTTGCAATTAAGAGCATAATAAATGGAATTATTTAGTACCTATACTTTTTTTCTTTATAGATATTTGATTCATTGCATTCAAACTTACCTAAATTGTTATTTCTAATTTTTTTAGAAAAATAGGAGGTGGACTAATTTAGAAATTTACTTTTTTTTTATCAAAAAATTGGGATTTTATTCATACTGAAAAAATAAGGGAAAATTACATGGGATGGCAAACATCCCTATGTAATAAGTTAATAAGGGTATAGTTTAATTTATTTACGGTCAGTAAATATAGTTTTATTTTTTTTGCTATAATTAATGGGACTACTATCTATTTGTATACAGAATAAAAATAGTCATCTAAAGATTTTTATATAATTTTATTTAAAATTAAATTTATCTCTCCTATTTTCATTCCATATATTTTCCTAAAATTACTCTTCTCTTTTAATTTGAATTTCCATTGAAAAAATTTTGACCTTCTATCTCTGATGTTCTTCCGCTTTTCGTAGGTAACCGCCAAATTCATGGCTTTCAATATTTTTTTCTTGATTCCTTCTATAACAATTGTATATGTAGTATGATTGTTAGTTTTTTCATATTTTTTTTAAAAAATCTTTATTACTTATCAGATTACAAGTCTTTCAAAATCAGAATAGTTAATTTCTGTCCATGTATGAGAATTACGAGAGGTATGTCATTGCATGTCAATGTTGTTGATAATCCACCCTCGTTTCAATTGGGTTAACTCAGGATTCTAGGTTAATGTAGGGTATATGGCAAAACATAAACAAGTTTAAGTTGAACAATCTATTGAAGAATTGAGATCAATGAAAAAAAATGACCCAATGGCAATTCATAAAGTCATCAACAACGCGAAATCTAGCGGCATTAAAATTGTTGAAGGTGGAAGTAAGAGAAAAGTCATAAACATTGATTCAGAAGAGATTGAATTTGTCTCATCAGAACTGGACAAATCTGAAGAATATCGAGAACATCAGGTAGTGTAATTTATATACAAATTACAAAGTTATGTATATAGTGATTTGTATATTAAGTTAATATATACAAGGTATTGTGAAACAGTTCGTAATTGTATATTCTATTAGTTGAATATCAATTACTAAAGTTAGGTATATAGCGGGTTGTATATTAAGGTAACATATACAAAGTCTTATGAGGCAATAGCTATTTGTATACAATTATTTAATTTTGTATTAAGAAATTTGTTAAAATCACTCTATAATATTATAATACATTATACAAATTCGTCGATATATACAAAAAATTATCAACATAATAAAATATTGTATATATAAACGTTACACCCTCAAATATAGAAACATATTTCAAGCTTACTATATATACAATTAACAAATGAATATTATATACAATCAGTTTGATCATTAATATTTAAAAAAAAAACATGAAATCACAGATGCACATATATAACTATAATATATATACCAAAATTATTGTACATTATACAAACTCCTAGAATTATACAAAAAAAATAAAATAGGAACATAATAAAATATTTTATACAAATAGATT